CTGTATCCCAAAGAGATCTTAAAAAAAAGGAAAAGGACCTACATGTACAAAAATATTCATAGCAGCTCTTTTTGTGACAGCAAGGAATTGGAAATTGAGGGGATGTCCATCAATTGAGCAAGTTGTGGTATATGAACGTAATGGAATACTATTGTGCTATAAGAAATGATGAGCAAGCACACTTCAGAAAAACCTGGGAAGACTTATAAGAACTGTTGTCCAGTGAGGAGAGCAGAACTAGGAGAATATTGGATACAATAACAGTAATATTATACGATGAAGAACTGTGACTGACTTGGCTATTTTCAGAAATGTAATGATCCAAGACAATTCTAAGGGACTCGTGATGAACATGCTGTCTGCCTCCAGAGAAAGAACTGATGTATGAATGCAGACTTCAGCATTCTTCCTTCCTTCCTTCCTTCCTTCCTTCCTTCCTTCCTTCCTTCCTTCCTTCCTTCCTTCCTTCTTCCTTCCTTCCTTCCTTCCTTCCTTCCTTCCTTCCTTCCTTCCTTCCTTCCTTTTCAAGTCTTCTTGCACAAAATGACTAATATGGAAATGTTTTACATGATTATACATGTATAACCTATATCAGATTGTTTGCCATCTCAGGGAGGAGCAAAGGAAGGAAAAGAGGGAAGGATAGAATTTGGAATTAAAACTTAAAAAAATCCCCCAAATATTAGAACTTGTTTTTACATGTAATTGGAGAAAATAAAATATTATTTAAAAAAAACCCAGGAGATTGAGAGTACAGAATTCTCCATTCACATTCTTAAAGTTCCTAGCTCTGAGCTAGTCTTCAGACCAGCCAGGTAGACCAGTACCACACTGGACATGCCAATGGTAGGGCCCCATCCAATAATCACAAATTTTTAGAGTTGAAAAGGACCTCAGTGGCCATCTCTTCCATACTATGCACAAAAAGGACTCCCACTGTGATATATGTGACAAGTAGTCAATCAATCTCTGCTTTAATAACTTTAATGAGGAGGAACCCACTACCAGCTGAGGCATCTCCTTCTGCTTTGAGATGGTTCTAATTGCTTTGATTTTTGCACTTCTTTTTTTTATCAGTGATTTGGAACAATTCTCATTCATTGGGGAATGGCTCTTGATCTTAAATATTATTTTTATCAGGATATTTGATGCGCTTTCCCCCCTCTCAACCTACAGCTTCCTTTCTTTTCCTGGTTGCATTGATTTTGTTTATGCAGAAAAATTTCAATTTCATATAATATAAATGATTTATTTTATTTTTTGTGACTACTTCAATCTTCAATTAAGAAATCCACCTTTCCCTTCCATATCCATTCATCATTCATACAATCTAGCCATTACTTTGCCAGACAGAGACACTCCATATATTATGACAGAGGGAACAGAAACCCATACTTTAGTCCAAGAGCTAGATGGAGCAGTGGAATGATCTCCAGTCCTGGAGGCAGAAAGGCAAGAATTCAAATAGTAGCTGTGTGACATTTGTTTGCCTCAGTTTCCTCAACTATAAAATGAGGATAGCAGTGGTATCTACCTCCCAGGGTTGTTGTAAGGATCAAATGAGATAATATTTATAAAATGTTTGAAGATATTTTGCATACTTAGTACAGTGCTTGGTGCATAACAGGAACTATATAAATGCTATTGTTATCATTGGGGTTTTTTTTTTTATTGTTATCATTGGGGTTTTTTTTTTTTTGCACCATAGATCCCTTTGGCAGTTTGGTAAAACCTATAGACTCTGTAGAATAATGTTTTTAAAGGCATAAAATAAAATACATTGGATTACAGAGTAAAACAATTATATTGAAATAGTTATAAAAGTATTTGAAAAAAAAAAGGTTTACAGACCCCAGGTTAAGAAACTCTGGTCTACATTAATTCCTATGGAGCAGAACATTTAGATCCCACCATAAAAATTGATTTATTATCTTGACATAAAAATCATTTAGCAGCTAAGAAAGGAAAACATTTTAATCAGATTTAGGCAATATTCACAAGTATAAATGTATCTTTGACTTCTGTGACTCAAAGCACTTATAGTATATTTAGTGACAGAGGGAGAAAGATGGATGTGGATTGTTGAGATGATGGAGAGAGATCTTTTCTTGTTCGTTTTATTCTTCCTGGTTACCTTTCTCCAATGAATGCAGGGGTTCTTTACCTTTTTTTTTTTTGGTGGAGCAATCAGAGTTAAGTGACTTGCCCAAGGTCACACAGCTAGTCTAGTATGTCAAGTGTCTGAGGCCACATTTGAACTCAGGTCCTACTGACTCCAAGGCTGGAGCTCTGTCCACTGCGCCACCTAGCTGCCCCCCCTTAACCTTTTTTTTTTGTGTGTGTGTGCCATAGACCCCATTGACAATCTGGTAAAGCCTATGGACCCCTTGTCAGAATAATGTTTCAAAATGTATAAAATAAAATACATAGGATTACAAAGGAAATCAATTATACTGAAATACAGTTATCAAAATGTAAAAGCAACAAATACATGGACCCAAGGCTAAGAACCCCTGTATTAGTAAAATAAAATTATTTATTGTTTACTATCAAATATGATAAGATTATTAGAAATGGACATTATACTGTACAACCTATTAAAGGCTATAGCATAAGTGTGATTTCCAAACTTCTTGTAACTAGTGACTACCTCCACTTATTTTAAAAGTCATTCTGTATATTCTGAAATTGTGAAAGGACAGACTGCAGATGATGAAAAACTGTACCAGTTTTCCTGAGTTGCTGTTAGATTACTACTGGGGAGGGGGAAATACTTTATTAATTACTAATATCATTTGAACCTAGCTTTATATGGCTAGAAAATTGTCTAACCTGAAATCATAGGGCATGCTGACCTCAGAGACTTTCAAGGGAAACCAGGTCGTGGCTTCCCCAATAGCTTGTGTTTTGGCTTCACCCAAATTATATTGCTTACTAGCTATGTGACCCTGGGCAAGTCACTTAACCCTGTTTGTCTCAGTTTCCTCATCTGTAAAATGAGCAGGAGAAGGAAATGGCAAACCACTCCAGTATCTTTGCCAAAAAGACCAACAAAAATCCAAAATGCCAAAAAGGGGTCACAAAGAGTTGGACGTGACTGAACATGACTAAACAACCACAAAATTATATTGAATGTTTGCGTTTACCTGCTAATATGCATCTCAAGTAACCTTACCCTTTTCTGGAAACTGCCTAACTGCCTCCATACTGGCTACCCAGATGCTTGTCCTTATGCCCTGGTTTGAACTTGATATATTGTAAAACTTAACAATTTGTTATATTTTTGTTATATATTGTAAGACTTAACAATTAACAATCTATTTGTTTTATATTGTAAGACATAACAATTGTAAGGTATAACAATTAACAATATATTTGTTATATATTGTAAGACTTAACAATATATTTGTTACATATTGTAAAACATAACAATTAACAATGTATTTGTTACATATTGTAAGACTTAACAATTAACAATCTATTTGTTATATATTGTAGGACTTAACAATTAACAATCTATTTGTTATATATTGTAAGACTTAACAATTAACAGTTTCCAGAGGAGAGCCGCACCTTTTTCTGGCTCTCTCTCCTTTGCCAAATGACTTAATAAAAATTCTTAAAACTTTTCCAAGTCTTGGAGTTTTGTTCTTGACCTGACACTACCTGGTTACTTCTGTGCTTTGTGAGACTATCTAATGGGACAATATACATAAAAGCACTTTGAAAAAATATTAAGTTTGTGAAAGAAAAATTCAGCACTCTTGTGTTTTGGGCACATCTCTCAGAAACAAAAGGACTTATTAATTAAATTCTAAGTACCTTTGCTTAGTGAATGAGAAACCTGTGGGGACAGAGATCCATCATGCTTTTGAAAATCTGACCCAACTTTTCCGCTTTCAATTTATTGTGTTCAAGAACAAAGACAGAATTCTTTTGTCATGAATTAACAAGGGTACGAAGTTTAGGCAACAAGTTTTTGATTCATCAAACAGAAAAATAGTAACTTACTTTTCCCTAAACCATTCAATCTGGTCAAGGGTTGAGAGCAAATTAGTACTGCTCATAGTTATTACTCTAATTCCTTTAAATTGTAAGCTCATTGAAGGTAGAGATTGTCCTTTACCTCTCTTGTAGGCCCAGCACTTAGCACAGTGCCAGGCACATAGCAGGTATTTAATAAAGAAATGTTTATTGTTGGTCAGTCGTGTTTGACTCTTTGTGACCCCATTTGGGGTTTTCTTGGCAAAGATACTAGAGTGGTTTGCCAGTCCCTTCTCCAGCTCATTTTACAGATGAGGAAACTGAGGCAGAGTTAAGTGACTTGCCCAGGGTCATACAGTTAGTAAACATCTGAGGCCAGATTTGAACTCAGGAAGATTCCTGACTCCAGGCCTGGCGCTCTGTCCACTGTGCCACCTATTGTGAAGAACTGGTAAAATTCTTCATTCAGAGTAGACGTGAGTACACACATTTATGGTAGCTTTTTTTTTTGTGATAACAAAGAATTGAAAACAAAGTAGAGGTTCATTGATAGGGGAATGGCTAAATACATTTAAGAACGTGCATGCAATGGGGGAAGGGGAAATATTATCTCATTTGAGCCTCAAAACAACACTGGCAGGTAAGTCTCACTAGGATCCTCATTTAACAACTGAAGAAACTGAGGCAGACAGCTGTTAAAACGACTGGCCCATCACACAGTATCTGAGGCTGGATCTGAACTCAGATCTTCCTGACTCCAGACCTGGCACTCTTCCACTGCGCCGCCTAGCGGCCTTGCACAGGAGGGGGAAGAAGTGGGTGGGCATTCTGTGTAAGGAGAACATTAGCATGCCAAGCAGGCGGCCTGCCAACTCCTTGAAGCCGGGAGGGAGATGGCGGGAGAATCTGTTACGGGACGGGAGGGGCCCGTCAAGGTCCCCGCTGACGTTATCACGCGGCGCCGCAGCCGGGCCGGGTACGTGACGTCACCCCGCGACGGGGGCGGCTTTTGTGAGGAAACGAAACTGGGGCCGAGCGACGGCGACGGCTGCGGCGGCGGCGGCGCGATCTGGCGGCCTGACGCCCCTTCCCCCTCTCCCCTCCCCGGCAGCTCGCCCCCACCCCGCAGCGTGAGTGCCGGAGCGCGGGCGCGGGCGCGGCCAGGGCGGGAGGGCGTCGGGGCGGGCTCGGCTTCGCCTCCTGGCTCCCCGCGGCCCGCCTGAGGCCCGGCTCCCCGACCCGCCCCGGCCGCCCGGGCACGGTGCCCGCCTTCTGCTCTCCCTTCGGCTTCCCGTCCTCCTCCTCCTCCTTCTGGGCCCCTCCCCCCTGCTCCCCCTTGTGCCCCCTCTTCCCTCCTGCTCCCTCTCCCTCTCCACCTCGGGCCCCCTCCCTCCGTTCCTCACACCTGGTGCCCTCCACCGTGCTCCCCCTGGGGTTCCCCCTTCCCTCCTGTTCCCTCGCCCTCCCTCCTCCCGGCCCTGTCTCTCCTCCTCCTGCTCCCCCTTTTCCTCCCTGGCCCCCTCTCCAGTGACCCTCTTCCCCTCCTGTTTCTTCTTCTAATCCTCCTCTTTCTGGCTTCCCTCTCCTCCCACTCTATTATTCCTCCCCTCTCCTTGCTTTCTCTTCCCCAGTGTTTCTCACTTAGCTCTACCCTCCCTTTATTACAGAGGCCCTCCTCTGCCCCTGGCAGCACCTCTCTTCACCCTCAGTCAGCTAGCCTTCCCAGGGCCTCTTGCCTTCACATTTGATGCTCTGCTTCGAAGATGGAAGAGCATCTTTTTTTCCTCTTGCACATTCTTTTGGGGATGGGTGGGTGGGAAAGGGGTTGGGAAATAGGGTCCAAGTGGAAACTTAAGGTTTTCCATAGGAGTTGATTTTGAACATTCTGGTACAGAAGTTGGAATTGAGAGCCCCTTTTATCCACTCAGGTAGACTGTGATAGAACAATTCTCATACATTTTGTTTTTGCTTTTTCCTATCTGGGCCTCTGATCCCTCATCTGTAGAGTGAGAAGATTGGACAAAATGACCACCGAGCTCCCTTCCAGCTCTGACATTCTAGAATTTTAGGATTGCTCCTGTTGTACCCCTCCCCCCCCAATCTCCCCATCTAGATATGAAGCAGTTCTGTGCTCTTCTCTTTTCTCACAGCTGGAGCCCTTAGAGTTGGTTGAGAGGAGTTTCATCTCCTTAATGGCTCAAACCCTGACATCCTTTGGAGGTGCTGTGGGTACAGTATCATTGTGAGGATTATCCCCAATTACTACACTCCTCCCATAGCTCCATCCTTTAGGATTTAGGGTGACTCCTGTCCAGTATTGACCCTTCTTACTACTCATCTCAGGCATAGTTTCTGCTTGCTGCTCCCCCCCCCCCCCCCCGCCAATCTATGTCATGGAAGTGGAAAGATGGAGGTGTCATATCTAGAAGGGGATGAAACTGTAACTGGCTAGCCTTAGGGGGAGAGAGACAGTAAGGTAAATTGATCCAGGGCTCTAGGAGGTGACATTGGTGAAGGTGACAGCAGATTGGAGTCTGTCACTGCTTCCAAATGTGATATGTATTGTGTCCAAGACCTGTAGCCCCAGTTGGCCCCTGCCCTTTGCGGTTGCCAAGTCTGGAGCTTTCTTGGCTTTATGTCTGCTTCTTCAGTTTCCTTTTTTCCATCTGACTGTGCTGTGTGGAAGGCTTTCTAGAATACCAGGGATCTGTGGACAACAATTTGTTAGACTTGATATCCTCTTCAATAAAGATGATCATTCTGTTAAGATATTTAGGTGTCATTGCTCCCTTTTATGCTCTGATATTTTTTCCTTTAGTACCTAACTCTGTAAATAAATGATAGTGGCTTGATGTGTGCTTATTTCCATTTTCCTAGCCATTTGTGTACCATGGCTGTGTGCCAACCTCATGTCCAGAGAACTTGCTTTCTATACCATTGGCATTCAACCAACCAACCAGTGGATAGAATGCTGCTGTGACTGTCAGAAAAGTTTCCTTACTCTTCTGTATGCTTAAGCTTATGTTGAAAGAAGCCAAAAATCAGTTGTCAGTAGTAAAAATAACAGTGATTATCCAATTGTTTTTGCAGACCCCTTGCTGTTAGTAGATGTAAATTTGTCTTTGTCATCACCCATCCCAACAGATTGCATCCTAATGTATCATTATTGTGTTCAAAAGTACGAAAAGATATGAACTCTCAATGTGAATTAGTGACCACTAGGAGATGGGGAGTTAATGTGTAATTGTTTGGCATTGTCCTTACAGTCACTTCTGGGTTTTTTTTTTTTTGGTGTCTGAGGCCATATTTGAACTCAGGTCCTCCTGAATCCAGGGCCGGTGCTCTATGCACTGCACCACCTAACTGCCCCATTCTATGTTGCATTTTAAAACACATACACAAAACTAATAATTGCTAATGAGAACCAGAACCTGGCTGGCATTTTCTGAGGCTCATTCCAAAAGGTCATTGGAGTGCTGGCTTTGGAAGATGATCAGAAATGTCAGATTCTATTCCTTACGTGGTTTATGTGTTTGTGCCCCCAAACTTTATCACCTTCTATTCATGTGGTTTTGAACCAGAGGGAGTTAACTGCCATTTGTGGTTGCAGTGACAATGAAGAGAAGAGGCGAAGGAGAGTTCAGCAGCCCCCAGAAGAAGCAGAAGAAAAGAGCTGCTGAGCTGGGCTTGACCCTCAGTTCCACATCAGATGAGGAACCCCCTCCTTTTGGCAATCATGGCCCACAAGGTAAGGCTCCCAACATAATGTGAAGCCTGGCCATTGGGAATGCTGATGGCTGAGCACTGGAAAATCTGCAGCCTGTTATCCCTGGTGCAAAACGGGGCCAGTTCGGAGGTAGACTTCCTTTTCCTGCTGCCATTGCTCTGATTGAAATATGGCACTACCTGTAGGTCTGAGTTGAAAGGTCTTCCAAGAATTATCTCCATTCTATAGGTAGTTCTGTTAGTTTCTAATTGGGACACTCTTTTGCTTTCTTGAACCTCCTCAAGATGGTGATGAGCGATGAGTATTATTGTGTGTAAAACTAGGCCTTAGTAGGTGTTGATGATCCTGGGGAGAGGGAGATGGTTAGCTTCAGGGATCTGGCATCATTGCTTTCAGCTTTTAACATGTACTTAACTCATTTCCCCCGTAGCTACAGTTAAAAGCAGTAAATGGTATTGGAGCAGCACGGTATTCATTGTTTGCACTTAGTGCAAAGTGTCTCACTGATGTGGTTGGAATCACTCTCTTGCTTTGTCCATTTTTAGGGTTGTCTGGATATATCTCAAATACCAAACAAATTAGGAAATTCATTTGCATTTGATTTCACTTGCCAATAGCTTCATGTTTTGGATCCTTTCCTGAATCACTGGTGAACTGGAATGAAACTTGGGAACAGATTGGTGACCAAAAGGGTGTGATGCACCAGTGGAGAGTGGTGGAAGATACAGTTTACTAACAAGTGGTAGGCCAATTGAGGGGCACTTTTAACGTCAGATGTTACTGAGAAGCTGGTCCAGAGAGGAGAAACTTGACAGGCGGTAAAAATAATAAAGCAGTTGGTGTGGCTATAGTCCCGGCTAGGAGAGAGCGTTTCTCTTTTTTCTCTGTAATATGTATCAGCTAGATGTGTGTGCCATTTGTTCTATCAAGATAATTTCAGGATGAGTGAGAACAGGCTCTGTGTGTTGCAGCTGGCACTGATAAATGGGAAAGGAAAACTTCTTTGTGTTTCTTTGGTTTGTCCTATAGATGGTTTAGGAGATTAGGAAATTTTGCCTCTTTCCCAGAAGTTAGTGATGATGTTCAGATTTACTGAATTTGGGAGGAAGACAGAAGGGGCCATAATCCAGGTTGGCACAGTGCTGAAGCATAGCTGATTCTGGGCAGAGCATGGATGATTGTTACAGAGGTGGCAGTTTCCATTTTGATGCAGAAGACATGATTTTTCTGTTTATAATAAAGTTAAGGAACCTCTGTAAAATTTAAGGCTCTTGAAAATGTAATTGTCAAATAAGATTTTTTTTCCTTTCCTCTTTTTCAGTTTTTGTTGTTCAGTTGTTTCAGTTGTGTCCAACTCTTTGTGACCCCATTTGGGATTTTTTTGGCAAAGTTACTTTTCCTTTTCCAGCTCATTTTACAGATGAGGAACTGAGGTAAACAGGGTTAAGTGACTTTTCCCAGGTCACATAGCTAGTAAGTGTCTGAGGCTGGATTTGAATTCAGGAAGATGAGTCTTCCTGACTTCAGGTCTGGCACTCTATCCACTGCGCCACTTAGCTACCCCTTCTCAATTTTACTCAGTAGATTTAGACTTCTAGGAAATAATGTCTTGTTCTGCAGACCTGAATGGAATCTTCCGTGTGTGTGTGTGTGTGTGTGTGTGTGTGTGTGTGTGTGTGTGTAAATAAAATCTATCTAAAGGCTAATTAATGGGGCAGGTGTTGGGGCCCTTTCCAGCAGGCCTAGAGCCACTAGTTAGCTGCTTCATTTGCAGAAAACAAGAGTCGGTGCCAAAACCCTTTTACTAGAGAAATGAAAATCAAAAAAGAAAAGGTGTGTCCCAAAATGCACCATGCCAAGCACTCTTTCCATTTCTTAAGGAAGTCTTAGTTCTCTGCTGTTGCACTTGGAGAAATGAAAATCACATGAGTGATATAGCCTGGCCCCTCACAGGAGAAGAAATAACACAGCAGTACCTTTCTCCAGAAAGTCTCAAGTGTTTAATACACCTCACCTTTCCCCACAAATCAATCTTTATCTGTGTTTAAGATTGTATCACATATTGACTTTGAAGGTTCGTCTTTTTTTTTTTAAATTTTCTTAAATTTTTAGGCAGTTGGGGCTAAGTGACTTGCCCGAAGTCACATAGCTAGTAAGTGTGAAGTGTTTGATCTGAGGTCCGATTTGAACTCCTGACTTCAGGGCCGGTACTCTATCCACTGCACCACCTAGCTGTCTGAAGGTTCGTCTTTTACATTCCACTATATTCTGTGGCCTCACAATGTTCTCTGGAAATCGCACATCTCATCTTCTATGTGGTGGTGTGCATTTAGGTGTGCACATAGGACATTTACACAAATTTATGTATCAAACCCAGCCCTTCTGCTAGCTCCACCTCGACATGCTATTTAGGCATATAAGTATTTGAGGGATGCTCTTTGCTGACAGCAGTGAGGAAAGTATAGATTTTTGCCATTTTTTTTCCTGTCCAGAATAATTTGTTGTTGTTTCCCAAAATCGACATAGTTTTAAACTATATTGAGATTAATTTTTTAATCAACTTATTTACATAATGATAATAATGAAGCAGCTGTAGTACCAGGTTAGCGTTTACTCTCTGGCAAAGGACATAATGATAGAAAGAGAGAGCTCTGTCTATCTGAAGTGTTAACTTCTAGACCCCTGAGGTGTCTAGGACATTTAAGACATTTTCAAGAGTATGACCTCTTGTAAATTTGCTTTGAAATAAAGTCCCTCTGGGGTAAAAATAAGAGAAATATACTTCATCTATATGAGGAAATTGTTCCCAAGACCTCTGAAACTCTGGCTCCTTTCTAGCAGTGTCCTTTCAATTGCACTCTTTCATCATGTCACTTGTTGAATATGGGCTTCTGTCTGTTCCATCTGTAGCAACTTCAGCTTATGATGGCATCTGCCACTTGCACCTGATAATCCCCTTCCTTCCCCCCTCCTTACCCCCAATTAAATTTAGTTCCTTCCTAAGTGGATTTTTTGCCCTGGAACTATTGCTTTTCTGTCAGCCCAGATTCATGACCTTAATCAAAAACTTCCTTTATTGGTATCTGTTTAAATTGCTTTAATGAGATGCTATTTGTCTGGTGTATAGGAGAAATGGAGTCTTTGAGCAGGAATGACTGTACTCCATGATGATTGTAAGCTAGGATGTGACGTTTATTAAAATCCATAATTTGCTTCTTTCTGTCTGTGTGCTGTTCACCTTGGTGATTATTAAGTTGTAGGAGGAGTTGCCCTTTTCTTTGAGTTGTCACTGCAGTTTTTATTCCTGGGATTTCTGCCATCTTGCTCTGTTGCTCTGTGAAAGAACTTGCTAGGAGATCTCTGCCTCTACTTTAAAGTGAGCTTGTCTCTTTTTCCATAAAGCCCTAAGAGTTATGTTTTTTTTTCCAAGCAGAGGAGAAATGATCTTAAATGAAAATCCTAAATAATTTTCAAAACTCTCTGATAAGGTATAATAGATGAGCTTCTGGAGAGGTAGATGGGCCTGCTAACTAGCTCTGGCAAGTTCTTAACAAAATTAATGATTTTAATAGATTAACACTTATCACACCTGTTAATTTATATCCTTGTTACAGAATCGTCTGTTCAAAGTGTTTGCTTAATTCTTATCAAATCTGGTGGACGTGACATTTGTCTTCCTTTCCTTCAGTTCCTGTGATTTGCAAATGCTTATTTTGCCTATTGTGCTAATTCCTGCGTAGCCCTAAGAACTCTGGAACACCTGTCTGTCTTGCTTGGCTTGACAATATCGTGCTTTGAGTTCGTTTTCTTTATTGTAGCACTTTGGTCAAGTACTTTTTCCAAAGCAGCATTCTCTGTTCAAGCACTATAATTTTTGGTGTCTGGTTGGCTTACTTGGTCATTGTGCTCTTCTTGCCAGGGGTAAATAGTAATGGCTTCCTTGTCTGGCATTGTAGTGGTGCTGTTTCAGGTCACTAACAGATTGGTGATGCTGCTCTTAGTAGTTAAGCTCCATTCTTGAGGGGCAGACAGACTATCAGCGATTCCTCTAGGTGTGGAAGTTTGTCTTTGGTCCTCTACGGTCCTATTCTCCAGATCTCACTAAGAAAACTGGTAAAGGTAGAGTCTGCTTTTGAGATGGTTGTTGCAGTGCCAAGATCATATTGAGTAAAATCCACAGGTATTTATTAAACAGCTCTTGTGTTTGGTACTCTTAGGGCACAAACTATCCTTATAGAATGTGTGTTTTAGTTGGGCAGTTGAGGTCTACGTGAAGTACATGGTGTAGTGGAAAAAGCATTGTCTTTGGAGTCAGAGAGCCTCGGCTTAAATCCTGCCTCTGCCATTTACTAACTGAGTGAACTTAGCCAATTCACTTAATCTCTCTGGACTTCAGTTCTCTCAGTCTATGAAATGATGTGGATGATGGTGTTAACTGCTTTTGTGTGCTTTTGGCAGGCTGATGAAACCTATAGACCCTTTCTTAAAATAATGTTTTTGGTTGTGCATAAAATGGAATTATAAAGGAAACTATTCTATTGAAATATAGGCACTTTCTTTGTGTAAGACATTTGCTAAATGCTAGGGACACAAAGAAAAGCAAAAGACCATCCCTGCTATCAAGCTCACAGTCTGGTGGAGGAGACAACATGGAAACAACTATTTACAAACAAGATCTGTACAGGATAAACTGGGTAAAGATAGACTAGTGTAAGAGAGAAGGCATTGAGATTAAGAGGACTGGAAAAGAACCTGCAGAAGGTGAGACTTTAGCTGAGATGTGAAGAAGCCAGGGAAGGTAGGAAGTAATAAGGAGGGAGAGCATTTGAGGCATGGGGAATAGCCAATGAAAATGCTTGGAGTCAGGAAATAAGAGTGTTGTGTTCTGAGGAATAGCCAGGGGGCCAGTTTTGATGGATTTTAGAGTACATAAGAGAAATTAGGTGTAACAAGACTGGAAAGGTAGGAAGGGTCCAAGTTTTAAAGGACTTTATAAGCCAAACAGAATATTTTTACATTAA